ATGAAGAGAAACAAAAACTTATCTTATACTAAGTGTTAATTTAAGGTAAATTTGAAAAGGCTGATGTAACAAAATAGTCTAAATAGCTTACCATTATTCCATTGAACAATAGTAAATTTCCATTTCCATCTGATTGAAGAACTCATTTAATGTCCCATTATAATTTCATTAAAGTTCACATTATAAAGTTGTTTCATATACATATATGTAAATGACACTTTAGGCACATGTTTAACTTTAGTCCTAAGCATCTTTATAAATTATAAGCACTGAGGTCCAAAGAAACTTCCTGAGTATTATTTGAATTTTCTGAGAGCCAGATTTGTTCAGGATATTAGATTACATGTTGTAAACCCCACTTATCTAACACTTTCTTTTATATAAGATAGGCGAGTTTAACACAGGCTATTATGAAAACAGCAAGGAGAAACTCTTGACCCCTCACTGACCAATTACACATGGTTTATATTATGTTACAATCACTTGTGTTTGTGAGTTAAATTTTACTCAATTCTCAAAAGTACATATGAAGTCCCTAGAAATATGCTTTATATTTTCATATAAGTGTTTTAAGGCATCATTGAAGCCCCATTACTGTTCTTATCTATTTATTAATGTTTACAAAGCATCAACAAAGTCCCTGGCACTTCCAGCAGAAGTTCCCTGGGCTTCTACTGAAGCAGGTATGTGTTAGGAAGAGTATACTTGAAGTTCCAGGGGCTTCATTTGAAGTATGGTTGTTGTGTATCATTGAAGTCTGTAGGACTTCAGATGAAGCAGGTCTTATAATCTGTAAGTATATCTGAAGTACATTTCAGGTATACTTAAAGCTGGGGGACTTACCTGAAGCATGTGCTTCATTTGTGGCTGGGAAGAATTGTAAAAAAATAATAAATCCCAAGCAAATGTTATTCCGTAATCACTCATATATGGGATGTAGAATGTCATTATTTAATCAACATCCCTCTCATAAAATTATAAGCGCTTGATCAATTGACTGTCTACGGTATAGTGGAAAAAAATTTGTTTGTCAAATCATTCTTTATTCACTGATTATTGCTATAATTGGCTGGGGATGTGGAATTTTAGTTTTTTTTCACTTGCAATTATTCAAATAAAAGTGTGTATGACATATCGACCCCTAGGACATATTGACTCATGATACTAAGACACTTAGACCCCTTAAATTTTTTGGACATTTCGACCCATTATTCTTTTATGTACTTGAAGACGTTAACTTAGAAAAAATAATGTGCATTAAGACATAAATATAGTAAAAAAAGTAATTTTGATTACAAGTTTGATTTTTATATATATAATCTAATAGATAAACTGAATAATAAGTAAAATCATATTAAACCGCTATTTGTTATACAGAATAATCCACCAAGTCAAGTATTTTATGTAAAGAATAGAAACACACGCACTGCATTTAAACAGAAAGTATATATAGTTACATGTATTATGTATGTATGTATACATAATATCATAATTACAGTAATTGCAATAGAAAAAGTAAACGTTATTTGTTATGATATAAATATCTATCAGTCTATTGGTAATTATCATTTTTTTTCTAAGCAAATATTGTCATTATTTTCATGTCAATTAATATTTATCATGTAACATCATCTGTACATACATTTAAAATAGTAAATTTGTCGGAAGATGTCGTTTTAAGCTATGTTCATTATATATCTTACAAAATTTATAAAATTTTATTTTATTCACTCGTGCAAGAAATAATTCAGTCTTGTATTTATATCTTACAAAATTTATACACTCATTCAATATCCTCTATATAATGGTGTCTTAATAATGATAACTAATTTATATCAGGTACTACTTCACTAGCTTATTTCATGCTTATTGAAAAACTAACAGCGTTAGTCTTTTTTATATAATCTTTATCTTGTAACACTATTTGAAGCACAATTATTTGAAGCATTCACCGCCTCCGTGGTCGAGGGGTTAGAGTTGATGACTTCTAATCCAGTTACCTCTCTGGCGTGGGTTCGATCCCCGGGAGATGCTTTGGTAGTTTAGCGCGGAGGAAGGTAGTCTAGTACTGGTGTAACTCTCCAGGAACGATGGTTAGGAAACTACCCGCCTATATGACTGAAATACTGTTGAAAAAGGCGTAAAATGAAACAAACAAACAAACATTTGAAGCATTCCTTAATCTTTGGAATACAAAAAGCCTCTATCAAATGTTTCATATATAATCTTTGAAAAGGCTTTCTGCTCTGCAAGATTTTTCTGTCCTCATTATTGAATGTAAATTGTTAGATATGTTCTATAATAATTGAGAGGTATGCAAATAAAAAAAAAACATCACTAATACATATAAATGAACAGAAAAATGTCACATAAATTTGAATCCAGCAATATTAACATCAGATTGAGTAAATGATATATATTCAAGATCAAATAACAATGTAAATATTGGTCAAATATATACCGTGTGTTAAATGAATTGAAAATTCTGTTTTTACCAACATGCAGGGGCTGTAGATATCTATAGATAAATATTTCAGATCAAGTAAGTTTGTAAAATTGGTAAGGTATATGATTTGAATTAGAAAAATTGTCAAAATTCTGTTTTAACTAACATATAGGTATGGTCGCTATACGTTTCTGTAGAAAATCTAAGGCTGTTTGGTTCTTTAAATACTATATTTTAGTGAAAACATGTACGTGTGTTGTTTACATGAAATAAAAATATTTTTCGAGGACATTAGTAAGGAATTGAATAAATATCAACGACTTCTTAATCATTAATAAAGCGTAATAAATTACGAAAAGTAACAAAAAACTTCCAAAAAAAATTTTATTAAAATTTTTAAAAAGATCTTATCTGGCACTGAAGTCACAAGCAAAGTCATAAAATCACTAATACCAGTACAGTATTAATGTACCAACAATTAAATTTTCATATGACATTTGTGTTAGATAATTTTAATATAATGGTATTACATACATGTTATCAATGTATCAATGCTCATGCTCTTATCATGTCTGTATGCCTATGAATATGTTTATATATTTTAATAAAATAATTAAACTGAATGTTACATATAACTATGAGAAAAGAAAATGTGTATATGGAATGTGAGATGTAATAAACATTGGGAAATTACCATAATTTTTTATCTAAAAAAGAATATAAGAAATCGATGCGACTATTTTCATTTTTATTTCGACTTTTCTTTTTTTGAAAAAAAAAGTAGAGGTATTGTTATTATAGTCGGGTCGCCGTTGCCGTCCACAAACTTGTACCTGGATCATAACTTTTTTATTTATTGGTGTATTGTCTTCATACTTGGCCACAACAACCCTTGGGACAAGACCTTTCAGTAGACCACACTTACCTTGACCTTCATCCATAAATAACCTTGACCTTCAAGGTTAATAGTCCAAATTTTGCTTGTTCATGCTGTTATTGGCTGTAACTTTGTTATTTTTGAATGGATTGTCTTCAAACTTTAACATAATAATCTTCAAGGATAACCCTTAAAAATAACCCGACAGACCTTGACCTTCACTCATGAATGACCTTGACTTTGTTTTGGCTGTAACTGGCTGTTACTTTGCTATTATTGAAGGGATCAACTTCATATTATAACAGAACCTACTTAAAGACAAGACCTTGTTGTTTATCGTGACTTCACCACGTGACCTCACAACGTGACTCCACCATGTGACTCCACCATGTGATTTCACCACGTGACTACACCACATGACTACACCACGAGACACCACAACGTGACACCACTACATGACTCCACCACGAGACTACACCACGTGACTCCACTACGTGAATACCATGTGACTCCACCACGTGACTCCACCACTGGACTCCACCACGCGACACTACCACGTGACTTCCACGTAAAACCAACACGTGACTCCACCATGTGACTTCACAACGCAACTCCACCACGTGACTCCACCACATGACTCCACCACGAGACTCCACCACGTGACACCACCATGTGACTTCGAATTGGGTGTCTCAATTTATATATATATAAATTAGTAAATTTATATAGATAAAATATATAAACAAAACTAATGTGACAAAACAGAATGATTAATTTTATAAAAAAGGAAACGTTAATATTTTGTCCAATATCTTTGTTTGCTTTAGAGAAAGTAAAAAGTCAAACGTTGCCCCGGCCCGGCGGTGGCTCTTGTTTGTCAATGTAACTACAATTCTACATATCATAATTGACATTATAGTAACTGTTGTAAGTTATTATATATTACATGTAATTCTCGAAATACATTAAAATTTAAATTAATTGAATTTTTTCAATCACAACCATTTATTGATTGATTTGTATTTTGCTTTTGAATTCATAATGTAAATACCATAAAAAATGAGATCATCGCTACTTTGACCAGTTAATTCAATATATAATATAAATTAAGTAGACATGTAAAATAATTCATTGCCAATATAACATGCATGTGTTTTTCATAGAAAAATAAACTAAATCTTTACAAACTTGTAGATATGAATTAATACGCAATAAACAGATTGCGCATTTTCATCATTATAATTATCATAATTCCTTCACTTTAAGTCTGGGGGTCTTATTCGATAATTCATGCCTATCTGTTATTCTATAGTGCAAAAATTGAGATAGGGGTCTAAGTGTCAAGGGGTCTAGAAGTCATCTTAATATTGTAGGGTCGAGAAGTCAAGTGATTTAAATGTTTTACCAAATATATAGGCTATTCAGATTTTATTCCACTTGCAATTATTCAAATATATAGGTTATTCTTATTTTATACAATAGTATCTTGCTTGAGACCCAACAGTGCATAGCCATTATATAGATTTCTTGCTAAATCATCCCAGATTTTGGGTCATCCAAATTGTCTGTATCCCAGACTGTAAAAGATGGATATAAATGACCAAACATTGTATTCTAAATATACATTTATATATGGCACATTAATTTTGGATCATACATTTATTTCATTATACAAAGTTAGATCCCATTGAAGCAGCATCTGAGACTGGGGAGGTAGTAGACCAAAACAAGATAGAGACTTGCAACAAAGATGTTGGGAACAAAACTGATCCTGCAGCATCCAGTGGTAAATGATTTTAATAATTACTTAATGCAGACTCAATTTGTAAATAAGGTTTGTGATTTATATGTTTACATTTGAAATAACAAAACTCCTACTCTAAATTTTGCCACCAAATTATGAAGATGTTTTTTTAATGAGATTCATGTTTGATTAGTATATGGTCATGATCCGCAGATGCCACCAATCTAGTTGTCGTCAGAAGTTGAGAATGTTGGTCTAAGAGCTTGAATTTTAAATTATTTCCTAATGGCATCTGAAGACAGATTTTCTATAACACTTGCCCATTTGAATTTTGCTTACGAATATGGTTTTCTCCAGAACATGAGAACAGAATATTTGATAACGAATCTCTTTGTCTGGCTTGTCCAAGCATATCTTTGTTGTGTCTTTTTAATGACAAAGAAATTATATTGACATTTATGACATGACACATATTTGTCTTACGAAATATTAAACACATAAATAGTTACATACTCATTTTTCACTGTCAAAATGTGTTAACACCAATAGGGTTCCCATGCAACTTGGAAATCATGAAAGTACTGTAATTTGGGAAAAAACACATCCTCAGTAGGGAAAAGATTTTGAATTTGACTGAAATGTTAAAAAACAAATGCGAGAAAAAGTTGGGAAAATTACTAGTTGTTCAGATATGAGCCGCGTCACGACAAAACCAACATAATGGGTTTTAGACCAGCATGGATCCAGACCAGCCTGAGCATCTGCGCAGTCTGATCTGGATCCATGCTGTTAGTTTACCAACCTAATTATAAGAAGAGAAACTGATAGCAAACAGCATGGTTCCTGATCAAACTGTGCTGATGCTCAGGCTGGTCTGGATCCATGCTGGTCGCAAACGCATGTTTGTTTTGTCACGACGCAGCTCATATATTTACATATCAATGAAGCACATGATTTTCAGTAGGTGAGGAAGACAAATATAAACACAGCTTTACAAGTATATATATTGGTACCCTGCACAAAATAATGCAAAATCTTATACACATGAAAAGAAAACACAGTTGATTTTGTACACAATGCGACAAAACATTGTGTGAAAAAATAATTTGAATACAGAATGATTAATTGTTTTATATGGAGGGCGTTCGTTGCCAAAATTCCAGACATGTAAAGTGTTCCTTTTTAAAATGACTTTTGAAAATGCGAACTTGTATGCCTACCATTTTTATTGTATGCCTCTTAATTCAATATCTTTTATTTGAAGGGTTACCGCCTTTTTTATATAACAAGTTTACATATATATCGTAACAAACCGTGACCTAACATCTAAAACGACAACAAATTTACAAGTTCGTATCTTCCATTGCATGCAATACATACGCATGTTTGCACACTTATAGATCTGTAATATACAAATGAAATCTAAAACTCGAATACGGAAAATAGAGTTTAAGAAAACGTGTTACCAGTTGTAGAACTACAAGAGTACGTTTACACAGTAACATGTTTAAAATGACAAAAGTAGATTCACAAAGTTAAACGATTTTAAGTCAAGCATAACGCCCCGCCCCTCTCGGAGTATTTACGACCTTCTATTTGCGGACAGGTATAAAACGGCGCCTCTCCCATATTTTTAAATAAAACTGAAGGACAACATACGGCATTTTTCATAACATGTAATATGTTGCATTTGTTATAAAAGTTTTGTCACTAGCAACATCACTTGAAAATTACTGATTTTACCATTTATGATGAAGAGTAACTTGTGGCATTACCTTATTATTTAACATTTCGTGTTCTTATCAGTTACAAATTATTTATCATTTTTAGTGATTAGCCTGTCCGTGCTATGCCTAGTGCCCTGGCCATGTGTTGTTTGGGGACCGCCTGGGCTTCTTGCCACTTGTTCTTGTTGCTGGGTCATGTAGGGTTGCGACCATTGAAGGCGCCGCCTTTCCTTGTTGATCTTGTTTATCATATATTCCTGAGAAACATCGGCGATTTGGAAATTTTTAGGGGAAAAACAATGACCAACTTCAAGGGAGTAGTTTTATTGATAATGTAAAAACATTCCTATACTCTTATTGGTAATCAATTGAAAAATGTCATTGGCACAAATTTCACTTTCAACAAAAACTATGCAAGTATTTGCAAAAATAGGGATTTTAAAGCAGGCCACCGAGATTTCCTTTCCGAAATCAAGATAATACTTATCCGTAGCACATATGTACAATCTTTAATACGGTATTTTCAGTATGAATAAAAACTTTTTGCACTTGTTCATTATCCCTCATGTACAGACTCAATCAAACCAGAGTCTGCAATTCTTATGTAATTTTGTAGTGATTAATGCTTCCGAGGGATCATTTTGTTTCCAGATTTTTAATACTTCACAACAGCAGGTGCAAGTGCCGTGTGGCAGTTGTTAAATAGTTTGCCCCGTTACTTCACTTCAGTGTTTTTTCTGGTCATTCGGGGATCATTGATGCCAGCGCTATTAAGTGTTTAGAATTGAGTACCGTTCAACCAGTGCTAGGGGGCGTGTCACTTACGTGTCACATTGAAGGTTCCATGATAATCGTCACTTGTTCATTATCCCTCATGTGCAGGGGACTCAATCAAACCGAATCTGCAATTCTTATGTTATTTTCCGCCGCCTTTCCTTGATGATCTTGTTTATTTATCAAAATTGATCCAAGAAATAAAAAAGTAAGTAGGGGGCGCCATGTTTTTTTCTTACTGAAATGTTCAGAGTGTGTGTGTTTTTTTTTTACTTGGGGATCATATGCCGTTTTTTCATGGTATGGCACTTATAATACGTGTCACATTGAAGGTTCCATGAATAATCGCCATAATTAACACATCTGCGGATGTTTTTCAAAATTGTTACCAGTTTATGTTGAATTTTTTGCTTAAAGCCGGTGCTAGGGGGCGGTGGACGATTAACTTGCTCTTTCCAATTACCGTCCATGAGCAGGCTCGAAATCAAACCGGGCCTGCAACATTCTCAATTTTTGTCCGTTTTGAGCGTTCTTTAGGGATTCTTATTTTCTCTATTTTACAAAAAGTAACATGATAAAACTTTTAAAACGAAAGTTAATTCAGTTGATTTAATTCATTTTTATTTTTAGGGCATTATAATAATTATATATCATAAATCGTTTATGAAAGCACACTTTTATTTTCAATCCAAAAATTATCAAAAATATATTCGAACTTTAAAACAAAGGGCCAATGATGGCCCTGAGGTCGCTCACCTGTATATATAGGCCCCCCCCCCCCCCCCCAAACGTTGCAGGGCCAAAATTTAACCAAAGGGGCTTTTATTTGCAACAAACTGGTAGACACCCATAAGAATATGTTTCATGCTTAACATCTAAGCTCTAGCTCATTGGGCTATTTAAAAGAAGATTTTTTTAAGTTTTCACTATAACACATATAGTTAAAAACAATGACACCCCTGGGGCCGGGCCAGTTTATGACCCCAGGGTTTTTATTTGAACAAACTTTGTAGACACTTACTAGAATATGTCTCATGCTTAATATCTAAACTCTAGCTATTTGGGTTTTTTCAAAGAAGATTTAAAGTTTTTGCTATACACATATAAGGGAAAATCAATGACCCCGGGGCGGGGCCAATTTTGACCCCAGGTCTTTTATTTGAACAAACTTTGTAGACACTCACTAAAAGATGTTTTCATGCTTAATATCTTAACTCTAGCTATTTGGGTTTTTTCAAAAAAGATTTTTTAAGTTTTTGCTATAACACATATAAGGAAAATCAATGACCCCCCCGGGGCGGGGCCAATTTTGACCCCAGGGCTTTTATTTGAACAAACTTGGTAGACACCTATTAGAACATGTTTGATGCTAAATATCTTAACCATAAGCTCTTTGAGTTCTTTAAAAGAAGATTTTTTAAGTTTTTACTATATGCATATATAGGGAAATCAATGACCCCCGAGGCAGGGTCAATTTTGAACCCAAGGGCTTTTATTTGAAAACATACTTGGTAGACACTTATAAGAACATGTTTAATGCTAAATATCTTAGCTCTAACTCTTTTGGTTCTTTAAAGAAGATTTTTTAAGTTTTTTACTATATGCATATAGGGAAAATCATGACCCCCCTGGGGGCAGGGCCAATTTTGACCCAGGGCTTTTCTTTGAACAAACTTGGTAGACACCTATTAGAACATGTTTGATGCTCAATATCTTAGCCATAGCTCTTTGAGTTCTTTAAAAGAAGATTTTTTAAGTTTTTACTATATGCATATAGGGAAAATCAATGACCCCCCGGGGCGGGGCCAATTTGACCGCCCAGGTCTTTTATTTGAACAAACTTGGTAGACACTCACTAGAAGATGTTTCATGCCAAATATCTAAGCTCTAGCTCTTATGGTTTTTTTTAAAGAAGATATTTAAAGTTTTTTCTTTCGGTTGCCATGGCAACCAGTGTTCTGCATGGAATTAAATTCTTTGAACAATTTTTAAAGGTGACCACCAAAGGAACATTCCTGTGAAGTTTGGATGAAATTGGCCTTGTGGTTTATGAGGAGATGTCATTTAAAGTAAAAGTTTACGGACGACGGACGGACGTCGGACGACGGACGCCGGACGAAAAGCGATCACGAAAGCTCACCCTGTCACTTTGTGACAGGTGAGCTAAAAAAGTTTGGAGGGAACGCCGTGTTTTTCTTACCAATTCGAGAGTGTTATTTTCAGAGTAAAAAAAAACCTAAAAATTCCATACATCTTTTTAATTCATTTTTATTTCCGAGGCACTCATAGAAAGCTTATGGAGTAATCTTTCATTTGATACCAATAATATTAGACTTTTTATAGAAATAAAAAAGTTAGAATGGACGCCGTGTTTTCCTTCACTTTATTGAGAAATAGGAGTGAGGCGACGGGTATTATACCTGTCCGTACATTTCCGTGATAGAAGATCGCAAATACTCAGAGAAAGGCGGGGCGTCATGCATGACTTAAAATCGTCTAACTTTGTGAATCTACTTTTGTCATTTCAAACATGTAACTGCGTAAACGTACTGTTGTAGTTCTACGACTGGAACACGTTTTATTAAATTATATTTTCTGCATTCGAGTTTTACATTTCATTTGTGTTTTTCAGGTACATATATCTACAAGTGTGTGAACATGCTTATGTATTATATGCAATGGTAGATACGAACTTGTAAATGTGTTGTTGTTCTCCATGTTAGGTCAGTTGTTAAGATTTACATGTAAACGTGTTATTTAAAAGCGGGTGCCTTCAATTAAAAGATTGGATTAAGAGGCATATCATTTGCTGTGCACGAATGCAATAAAAAATGCTAGACATACATGTTCGCATTTTCAAAAGTAGTTTTCAAAAGGAACACATTACATGTCTGGAATTTTGGCAACGATCGCCCTCCATAGTTTTACAGTTTCTATAATAAAATCTGCTGACTTTTGTTGTTGTATATTATGTAGAGAAACACTTAACTTTTCAGGTACCAGTAAATGTGGCAGGAAGGTCCAGAGAGTAAGATTGAAGAGGCTTTCATGAGGAAATCATTGAAATATCATATAAATGGAAGTAAATCAAGTGTTCCTTAATAAACTTTGACATCATAACAGCACAAAACACCTGTAGTGAGTTAAGAACAAAAAATTTTCCTCAAATAAGATCTAAGTTAAAAAACATGAAATTAGGTAAATTTAAGTAACATTTTACCATTTCATCATAGACAAATTTATGGTGAACAAATATATTTACTGTTTGAAGATTTTACACATTCCTGTGGACATATGCTTGAAATGGCTGGGTGAATGAGGATCAAAATTGACCTCTTTTATAAATTTTTGTCGGCATTGAGTATGCATAATTTATTCAGCCTGAAATGTGTTTGACATTTGATAATGCAGCTGCATGAAATAAGTGCTAGAAAATTATATAATGAAGTCTGGAAGATTTCTAAAATAATACTTGTATTGTTTTCATCTATGTAAGTTAACGTAAAGCAAACAAATGTACCTCAAACAAAAAGAAACAGGGTAAACAACATTAATTTTCCTAATATGTACAAAGTAAAAACTTAAAAAAATCTTATTTTAAAAAAATCAAATAGCTAGACCCTTTTTTAGATATTAAGCATGAAACATCTTCTAGTGAGTGTCTACCAAGATTGATTTCTAAAAAAAAGCCCTCAAGTCAAAATTGGCCACGGCCCACAGGGTCATTGATTTTCCTTCTTTGTATGTAGTAAAAACGTAAAGAATCTTTTAAAACACTCATATGGCTAGAGCTTTTTTAGATGTTAAGCATGAAACATTTTCTAGTGAGTGTCTTCCAAGTTTATTCAAATAAAAGCCCTGTGGTCAAAATTGGCCCTGAACACTGGGGTCATTGATTTCCCTTATAATTTGTTTGGTTTTATTAACCTGTGAATTCTGTACTGATTATATGGTCAATATTCAGAATATATTAATATTCTATAAATGTTCGGTAAATTCTGTGAGATGTACTCAGTAAGATGATATTTAATTATGTCTCCCCCACCTCGGGGGGAGACATATTGTTTTTGCCCTGTCCGTCCGTCAGTCCGTCCGTCCGTCAGTCCGTCCGTCCATTCTTCGTTTCCGGACGATAACTAGAGTTCCTTTTGACCTACAGCTCTCAAACTTCATAGGATGAATGGTCTTATTGAGCAGATGATCCCTATTGTTTTTGGGGTCAGTAGTTCAAAGGTCAAGGTCACAGTGACCGTTGGTCAATTTCTCGTTTCCGGATGATAACTAGAGTTCCTTTTGACCTACAGCCCTCAAACTTCATAGGATGATTGGTCTTATAGAGCTGATGATCCCTATTGTTTTTGGGGTCAGTAGGTCAAAGGTCAAGGTCACACTGACCGTTGGTCAATTTCTCGTTTCCGGATGATAACTAGAGTTCCTTTAGACCTACAGACCTCAAACTTCATAGGATGATTGGTCTTATTGAGCAGATGATCCCTATTGTTTTTGGGGTCAGTAGTTCAAAGGTCAAGGTCACAGTGACCGTTGGTCAATTTCTCGTTTCCGGATGATAACTAGAGTTCCTTTTGACCTACAGCCCTCAAACTTCATAGGATGATTGGTCTGATAGAGCAGATGATCCCTATTGTTTTTGGGGTCAGTAGGTCAAAGGTCAAGGTCACAGTGACCGTTGGTCAATTTCTCCATTTCCATTCCTGTTTCCATTCACAGTTATTCTCAGCAGTGGGGGAGACATGCGCTTTTTTACAAAAGCATCCTCTAGTTCATCTTGTTTCTATGAATTAGTTAAACTGACCGTTATAGCCCAGTAGGGTAAAGTACAGGTTTATAATACATGTTGTAAGATCGAGACAGTGTATGCCTAGGTTTTTTTTATTCATAACTAATTTTAACGTTGTTGAACTTATGGTTGTTCTTTCTGTTTTTAACATGGTTTGCATTTTTTTGTAAATACTATACTTTTGTTACGTAAAAAACATAGTTTAAGAGTTAATATTTAAAATTCATTCAGATTAAAATCAATTAATGTCAGATCAGTGTCGTAGAATACAATACATAACGTGACAAGGCAGTGTTTCTTAGTTTTTCATATCCTTGTAGACAATTTTGATTTGATCATTGATTTTCCTTATATGCATATTGTAAAAAATAAAAATCTCCTTTTAAAAAACCCAACAAAACAAGTATTCTGACTCAGGTGAGCAATTTAGGGCAATCATGGCCCTCTTGTTGGTCTTCTTACTGTGTTTTTGTTGATTTTAATTTTATTACTGTATTGTTTTGCATCTATCTAACAGACTTGCTAGTATAATTGTATTATTGTGCTGACGTAATATGTTACCTTTTTCAAATGCCTTGCTGAACAGGACTGTTGCTGTGTAAAATGTTGTTTTTTTATTTGTATGAATTGCATAACATTTATGTTGTTTCATTTTCTTTTTGTGCCCCCACGTTAGTGGCGGGCATTTAGATTTACCCTTGTCCGTCCTTACGTCCGTCCGTCTGTCCGTTCATTATTGTGTCGCACGTAACTCAAAAAGTATTTGACCTAGAGTCATGAAACTTTACAGGAATGTTGATCAGCATGTGTAGTTGTGCACCTGGGTATTTTCGTCTGGATACTTTTAGTATTTTCAGAATTATTGCCCTTGACTTAGTAAAATTTTGCAATTTTCAACTTGTGTCACATATAACTCAAAAAGTATTTGACCTAGAGTCATGAAACTTTACAGGAATGTTGATCAGCATGTGTTGTTGTGCACCTGGGTATTTTCGTGTGGATACTTTTAGTATTTTCAGAGTTATTGCCCTTGACTTAGTAAAATTTTGCAATTTTCAACATGTGTCGCATGTAACTCAAAAAGTATTTGACTAGAGTCATGTAACTTTACAGGAATATTGATCAGAATGTGCAGTTGTGCACCAGGTATTTTCGTCTGGATTTATTTAGTATTTTTAGAGTTATTGCCCTTCACTTAGAAAATTTTTGCAATTTTCAACTTGTGTCTCAAGTTACTGAAAATGGATTTGACATAGTCATTAAACCTTATGGGCAGGTTGCTCAGCATATTTAGATTTGAACCAGGGGTTTCACTTGTGGATTTATCCAGTATTTGTAGAGTTATTTCCCTTGACTTAGTAAGAAGATTGACAGAACAGTATCGCGGTGGGGGCACCCGTGTCCTATGGACACATTTCTAGTTTACCATATATTGACTGTATAACATGATCATATGTTCATTTGCTGTGTACAAGTTTTTTAAGTTATGATCCCCTAATCCGCTTTGATCGGCATAATTATTGTCCACTCCAAAGAAACTGAGGGGCATAAGTTCAAACCCCAGAAGAGTCAACTATTTTTCTTTTTATATTTTTTCAGTATGTCTCAGATCCCTCGTGGAAAGTAAAAAAGTATTTAATTTTAATAATGGAATATGATAGGTATTTATTGACTAAAATGCCAAATTAAAGAACAAACATGCTAATCAAAACTACACGGTTAAAAGTATTTTATATTTGACCATATACTTCGTAAAAATTAAGACAATTAAAGCAAAGTTTGAAAACAGCCCCTGACTTTGGTAATTTTAAGGGATATTTTGAATAAGTAGGAAAAAGGTCAAACAAGTGATTAAAATGGGTTGGCTGGGGTAACAATTTTGTACATATTTCAAACATTTTGCACATAAACAATAATTTTGCTTGTGTGATTTGTTAGCTGAATGCTATTAGTTGTTTCTTAATAAAAAATAAATAAGGAAACATTTTTCATAATGTTGCTGTTAGAAATTATTAAGAGTTTCCTCATCCCTGAAAAAGAGTCTTTCTAATAGCTAATAGCTAATAAGAAAAATGTTCTTACTTGTATACCGTATATCAAATTTTGCATACATGTGTCCTTTAAAGCATATTTAAAATGACCTTTGTCAAAAAATTTACAGTTTTAAATAGTGCCCATTAGATGGGTCATACTTTAACAAATCAGATATGGACAAGGCATTTTTGTTTTGTAAATTAAGATAATTGCTTATTTGTTTGAAGAAAGCTCCTAACTTGGTTTTCTGTCCATTGTGTAACAGTTTTCTGTCTTTTTTCTGTCTTGCATTATGAAGCTGGTAAAATTATTGTCTTTTACAGCCCATATTTAGAGCTCTAATTTAAGTTCAAATGACTCTGCTCAAAATTAGTAGAAATTTTAACCTCTCTAGATTGTATTTTTAACTTTGAGGGATAATTATTGATGTTGTTTTGAACAAAAGTTGATTGTCTGTCTTGAAGGTAAAGCAGCTACAGATGTAACAGGTGCATTAGTAGATTCTCTGTCCCACTAACATTATGTTAAAGGCCCATTATGCCTCAGAAATGAGTATGTTTTCCTTCTCTAAGAAGGGCAAACATGAGTTCTATAACATTTAAAAAAACAGGTTTAAAGAATGTTAAATGTTTGTCACCTGAGTAAAGTAGTGCTGAAAGTGAAATTATTTGTCATAAAAGTAAAGAAAATGTAAACAAAGTTGTATTTTGACTTCCATACAAGATATGAAATAAATATAAATGTGCTCATTGCTTAAATGCAAAAAGAGTCGAAAGATGTCTCAGTTATATTGGCAATAAGTAACATTTTGGAAACTATACCAGGACACCAAAAATAAGAAACTTTTGAAAAATAAAAATATCATTTCTGAGTTTTAATAGGCCTTTACTTGTTACAATTTCTGAATAATCTTAAGTGTAAATATTTCTACACACTGAAAACTTTGAGAAATATTACACTGGACATTTAAGAAACTGGTTCTACATAATGTTATGTTTAGGGAACTTCTGTAAGGCTTCAGTGAATTTTCAAGTTTTGAAGTACATGCCAACATGCAAATACACATGGAATGTTGATTGAAAGAAGATGACTGCAAAATGTAGCGATAAACTTCCTGATATATGAACTTCATCTGGTCACAGGCATCAGTATATGTGATAAAGAAAGACTTGATGGGTATTCTTATGTGCAGACCCAATTAACTTTAGCAGCAATATATATAAGATTAAAACAGGCCCTGATTTTCGACTTGTTATATATTGCTTGCAAAATTATATTTTAATATGTTGGGTCAAATTGTGTCACAAACCCAAATTACTACTTTATATATAAATTTCAAAATTATGTATGCATATGTTGGGTCAGAATTTGTCACAGACCCAATATTTAACTTTCAAAAATAAATAAACATGCATATATATTGGATTTGATATGCTTTATGTACCCACTGTCAACTCTTGAGCTTCAAATATATATTCAATCTTTTTGTGTCACATACCAAATACTTTCTAATGTTGCCGTATATAACATTCATAGTTAAATATGCACATGGGTTTACTTTTGTCTTTCATCCTATAAAGGACTCAGGCCCAATTAGGGAATTTAGTGAATAACGTTCCATAGGTACGCTAGGTATAGGCCATAAGCTTTTGGATTACTCGGACTTAACCGCCCATTTCTCACTTGTTTTCATTCAGAAACGTGAAATAAATAAGGAGGTGCCTCGGGTTTGAAGGGGATTTCTAGAAATATAACAGGACCATTAATGAATGAAAGACTAATTCAAAGTGAACAATATATGATCCGCGTCACGACAAAACCAACATAGTGCGTTTGCGACCAGCATGGATCCAGACCAGCCTGCGCATCCGCGCAGTCTGATCAGGATACATGCAGTTCACTTTCAAACCCTATTACAAGTAGAGAAACTGATAGCGGATGCGCAGACTGGTCTGGATCCATGCTGGTCGCAAACCCATTATGTTGGTTTTGTCATGACGCGGCTCATATTTTATCGCACGCTGCTATTTTACGCCAGGCACGCGATTTTTATAAATAATTCACATCAAATATGACAACAACAAAATCCCTTGCTTAATTTTATTTAGTTCGTTTAATATACTCTATGAAAGTATGGAATAAGCAACCAATCTGAAATCTGTCAAGTATTTATGATATAATCCGTCAAGTATTTATGAAGTTTTGGACATTACTGTATAGCGAATGAAACAAATTCATAAAATGTCATTAACATCATGCGACCGTATAAAAGCATACATTTTGCTTGGAATCAATATACTGCCTGTCAACTGATTCCTTAATATTATTTTTTTCCTACATTTTGGAATGAAATCCTTTTTTTTCTAATTCCCTATATTTCCTATATATTCTTAAAGGGATATTCAGGCAAAATAATGAAAAAAAAAATATTAAAATGATCTTATACAACAACAGGTGTCAAGTGCTGTGTGGCAGCTGTAAAAAGTTGCCCCGTACTTCACTTCAGTGTTGTTATATTTTTCTGGTCCTTCGAGATCATTGATGCAAGCACTATTAAGTGTTGAGAATTGAGTACCTCTCAAGCAAGTGCTAGGGGGCGTGAGGGATGTTGCACATTTTCATTATCCCTCATGTACAGACTCAATCAAACCGAGTCTGCAATTCTCTTGTAATTTTGTTGTTATTAATGCTTCCGAGGGATCACTTTGTTTCCGGATTTTTATGTACTCAAATCACGCTAAAATGACGTTTCTTATAATTTCAGCATGAATTTCTGTTTAAATTCTATATATTTTGGGTTTGAAGCGTAAATATACATGTATCTATATAATTATGTTGAACAAAATATAGACGCCAAAAGAATCACTGAATACTTTTAAAACAAGTCATGTGACGTGATGTTACAATAACAGATATAGTGGATATTGTACGATTGAAACAAGTCTAAGTCATTCATTGGATCAGTCCACTATGACAGCTATTGTGAAATCCTAGCGCTTTAACCTGACCCACGTCGGTCAAGTTAGGAAACCACCATTTTATTCTTTATATTGAGAAAATTTTTGTTCCTTTGACTGTCTAATGTATACATTTTGCAGGCATTTACAGAAAAATGAATGAAAAATTCAAAACTAAGATGAAAATTTTGCCTGTGTCTCCCTTTAAAGTTGAAACAAAATTCGGCATTTAGAAGAAAAAAGGGTCATTGATAAATTAGCGAGCAGCTAATGTTTCCTTATTTTGCTTCTTTGAAAAACTTCAGTCGATTCAAATATGATCAAGAACTAATTCTAAACGTACATAACAAAAGCCACGTTCGAAAGTACAATACCAGGAAAACAGGAAATTGAATATTATCTGGCGCAATAGCGTGCTTGTTTTGCATGCGGAAGGTCGGAAGTTTAAATCCAACAAGGACGTCAAGGAGGTTATACTTTTATTAGGCCTTTTGTATTTTATTATTTATTTATTCATCTTCTATTGTATTTATTTTCTATTTACATTTTTTATACATGTATATACGTTTCCCTTGCTTTTATTCACAAGAATGCTAAAGCATATATAGTAAGTATATATATATTAAGTTAAAATTCTATTTAATTAATCAATCAAACAATGCCTTTAAAATTTAAACTCTGTGGCACTCAAGTTGCGCTGGTACTGGCATGTTCGTCTCCGGTGCCAAGAGAGTACCTCAATAGGTGATTACCACGGACAAAGAATGACAAAGTGTTCACCAAGTACAAAAGTGATGACGTCCTTTTAACAGCGCCACAATATGCACCTCAACCAAACAGCCCAGGACTCGTGTACTCAAAATAAACAGGTGATTTTCGTTGCAGGCCAGTATGTCACGCGTAGCACAAAAGCTTAATTGAATACCTGTACATTGAAAAAAAAAGTTCAACAAACAAAACAAATACTGGGATTTGAACCGACACCTGTATAGGTGATAGACCAGCACGCTACCACTACATTACTATATCTCGCTGATAGAAGTGTGGCAAATAGGTATCATTCTCTAATTCGCTTTGTTTCACCGAAAATAAATTATTTATCACCAAATAAAGGTTATGAAACCTTCAGTCTTGGACAGAATAAAAAACAACACTAAAGTAGGATAAAGGCCTTCGTAAATTGTTTCAAAATCGCTGTATACAAATCAATAAAAAAATCATAACTGGTATTTCTGTGAATTTAATTAATTCATGTTTTATGGTCTCTGGACAGGCAATATTGAAAGCTCATAACCTGCGGAATAAACTATTATATCGATTATTTACAAGTTAATTCAAACAAAACAAACACTGTTTCGCTAACATGCGAAATTATGGCTTAATCAAAGCATTGCTTATTGGTGGGCGGGTAGGATACGATGTGTTCACTACAATGCTGTTTGTTTGTTTCATTTGACGCCTTTTTCAACAGTATTTCAGTCATATAGGCGGGTAGTTACCTAACCATCGTTCCTGGAGAGTTACACCAGTACTAGACTACCTTCCTCCGCGCTAAACTACCAAAGCATCTCCCGGGGATCGAACCCACGCCAGAGAGGTAACTCGATTACAAGTCATCGACTCTAACCCCTCGACCATGGAGGCGGTCATCACTACAATGCTAAGTCCTCCAATTCTTTTAATTATGTATCCATAGCGCTAACTATGTTATACCTCACTTATAATAAATACATTTACAATACATTACTTACCTTCTCTGAAGTGTATTGATCCATGCTATTTTTACAAGGGTTCCGAAATAAATAAACTTCAACAGTAAACTATTGTTATGAGGCCTCCGTGGCCGAGTGGTTAAAAGCGCTGACTTGAGATCACAGGTCCCACACCGCTGTAGGTTCGATCCTCACTCGGGTCGAAATCTTTCATGTGAGAAAGCCATCCAGCTGGCTTACGGAAGGTCGGTGCCAGGTGCCCGCTCGTGCCTGATACAATGCCCGGAGAGG